ACTGAAAATAATGTTCCTGGAGACCAGTTGCGCTTGACTGTTTTTTGTGAGGACTTTGGCAGTATCGGAATGATTGTAGCCATGTCTTCTTCTTGATCCCACAAGTAGATATGCCCATCTGCGACAAACTGCTTGTTAGAGTGCATGTTCTTTGGTAGAGAGACTGTTTCGAAAGAGTGGGGGTCGACTTTGAACCATGCGTGAGCTTTGTCCCTCAAGAGTTGTAGGCGCTTGGAAACAGGGATGCTAACATTGTCCGTATTGGAAATATGGAGCAACCGTTGGCCACTGAGTTCAACGATGTACTGAAGCTCGGAAGAGGACATGTACATCTGGCAAAGGGCCTTAGATACCTGCAAGACGATTATCGTAAGTATAAAAGTCCATATAGGACAACAATAGCATGACCACAATCATAAATTGGGCTCACGGATGTACAACGAAGGATATCTTGGCAAGAAAGAGAGCTCAAAATGTTGAGCTGTAGTTCTCTAGGAATAGACAAAAACCCTGCGTTAGGTTTCATCTCGTGGCTCATAAATATCTTAACAAGGTGAGATGGGCAACTAGTCTCGACTAGATACGGTTGAAAGATGCGAGCACCTGCATATACCAAGCATACAAGAGTGGAGCCTTGACTTGGAGCGGCGTTTGGAATTGAAGGATTACTAAGCTAAAGGTCCTTCATACTTATGCAATAACCCGAACAAACGTCATTGAATATCTCATAAATCTGAGCAGTTGGTTCGAAAAGATCGATTCCTTTGTTCACGATGATGGTGGGAGAGCGTTATACACAAGAAGGTCACCTCCAGCCGCAGCCCCCGTCTGCTCTCATCTGCAAGGCATTTACCCTGACCCGTCTCAATGAAGGACGTAGCATTGGAAACTTCAATAAAACCAAAAATAGATGCTGAAGAACCGTCAGTGAGTAAGACAATGTATCACTCAGGCTGGTTATGCACTTACTACTATACTATTTACCCGCTATGATCATGTCTGCCGCAGTAATAGCTTGCTACTGCACAAATCATCGGCCACCCTGCCCCCAAGCTGGTTATGCAGACCGTAATAATGACATGTGTGACCTGTCATTGTTTTCGTGTGAACCAGATTACACAGTCACTGGTTGCGAATGTGACGTACTGATACTACATCGCGATCCCTTGTATCATATGGCTTTTCAAACTAATCCCCACTTCAAGTTGCAGGTCCTACATAGCTGAAAAGTTGTTAATGAATGTACGTGACAAGTTCTTGATCTTTTCAAACCGTTCTGACATCGACATCTCAGTGACGCTACACGGTCTAGCCAAGCTCAGTGATTGCAGCCGAGTACTGCCAGGCTTTTTCGATGGTTGAGTCGTCTGCATTTCTTGACCAGTTCTTGGTCTGACCTCTGCGCTCAGTGCTTTTCAGCAAGCAGACCCATCCTCGTTGTTCTACACATAGCCCACACCGTACTCCCTCTCCTCTGTGAAACCACGTGCGCCCGTCGGCGACTTTTCATCGCTCTTCAACCACACTCGCTCCAATACCGATAGAGCAACCGAATTCCAGCAATGCTCAAGGCGGTCTACCTTCTCTCATTGTCGTCCTCATATTATTGAAGTTGTTACGGTACAGGACAGAAAGGTATGTCTTTGCATGCGCTTCCAACTGTTGTGGACAATGGTCTCTGTCCAGGCACTGGTTGTTGCTCGGCGGCCAGAACATGACAAGCTGAAATGAACACAGCAACATCACAGCCAGTCGGATTGCAAAGCCCAGGCGCCTTCATCGTAATGTCACTCTGCCTCCGCCTCGCCGTCGGAAACTTTGTATTCGCAAAGATATTTGAATACTCAAATAACACCGGAGGAACTGCCAGATATATAGCACCGAAGCTATCTTGTGAGTCAGAATTGAATATTGAATTCCTGCATGTAGGTTGTTTCGTGAGCAACGCGTTATGCGCGCCACTATCTCAAAAGATGGGCCTGTAGACTCACCAGCAATCCCTGCCATACAAGCCCTTTCATTCCATTATTTTTGTGGGCTTCGCTCGCAAGCATAGTCAAGATATGTTGTAACAATCGAACGCTGATCATGTCTTCCCCGACCCGTGAGCAAGAGTCGATTGGGTACAAGGTGTTATGCACCTACCTGGCGGACGGCGCATAATATGACTCACTTCGGAATGTGGGATGTAAAGACCAGAGACACAGCCCTGGAGATGTCTCTGTGGGTGATTTATTCACCCGATAACACAACATTTGCGATGAGCGGTCCGATAGTTACCCCATCCAGCTAGATGCATCTGCTGCTGCGGCACTGCTACAAGCCTATAAGAGCCGGAAGCAATATACACATAGCGATAGGAGACACAGCATAATCGACGGCGATTTACTAATTCCCCATGGTCATAAGGTCGATTGCATGATATATGATTTGCTAACCCACCCCTCAAATCATGGCTCCTGCAGTCGATGGTCACTTTGCTATCATCGCCGGCATTTCTCTTTCCTTTGTCGCCGTCAAGGTACTGGGGCGGTTCATCACAAAGCGACAGAATAGTCCTTCTCTTCCCCCTGGCCCAGTGCCGCTCCCACTGTTAGGGAACGTCTTATCCGTTGACGCTCAGGAGCCTTGGCTGACTTACACCGAATGGGGTGCTGCGTATGGTACGTGAACAAATAGTATAGGGTATATGCACTGCAGACCATTATATCAGGGGACTTGGTCTTCGTGCAAATCATAGACGAGAAAATGGTCGTGGTCAATTCTCAGCACACTGCAGAAGCCTTACTGGACAAGCGTTCTCGGATTTACTCTGATCGGCCTTACCTAGCCACACTCGAGCCGTGCGTTCTTTGAGTATTCTTCTATTCAACCAGTCTGAGGCTCTTGCAGGTATGGTTTGTCAATCAACTTTGGTTTCATGGGTTATGGTGATGAATGGCGTCTCTGCCGACGACTCTTCCACCAAACTTTCCGTTCCGAGTCTGCAGTGAAATTCCTCCCAATGCAGATCAGGCGTGCTCATGAAATGGTCAACAACCTAGTCAATGACCCTCAACATTATCATGACCACTTCGCAACGTCAGTAAATTATCTTTATAGATTGAACGGTTATTTACCTGTTTACAGATTCTCGTTATCTGTTGTGATGTCAACTGTATATGGCCACGATGCCAGTGCTCGTGATGATCCTCTTGTGCAGAACGTGGTAAAGGCACTGATTCCGGGCCTGGCCGTGTTGACCCCAGAAAGAGCATTGATGCTTAAGACCTTCCCTTTCTGTGAGAACTCAACTTTCCTAGCTGAGAGAACGTTAACATGACATGCACTTTTGTGGAATCTAGTGTTAAAATTACCTGACTGGTGTTGGGGATCATCGATCAAGCGTACTGCTCAATCTTCGACCGAGCGCATCAATGAAATGGCCAACGCACCATTTCGATATGTGCAACAGCACATGGTAGGTATTTATTTTTCTCTTGGATCCAGACATTGGTTCGACCCTTGCCAAGGCAGACAGTTCGATCCTCGTTCGATCTTCGATGGTTGCAGAAAATTTGCGACGGATGGAAACGCAAGAGGAGGTATCCAATCCTGCATTCGAGAGTGCCTTAAAGAAAGCAGCTACTGCTGCTACTATGGGTAAGTGAGCTTTTGTACAAGCAACGTTATGCTCTCGACATAAACCTATATCACACAGGTTCATATGAGACGGTATGTGGGTAATTCCATCATGTCATCCGCTCCTTATCCTCGTTACAGACTTCGGCAATCTTGATGGTCTTTGTTTTGGCCATGGTATTGTATCCAGATGTTCAGAAGCGCGCACAAGCGGAAATCGACTCAGTGGTTGGAAGAGAACGGCTGCCAACGTTCGAGGACAGAGCATCATTACCCTACATTGATGCACTTGTGCGAGAGACTTTCCGATGGCAGCCCATTGGACCCCTTGGTATTCTTCCCTGCCAAGTGATCTGGCCTGTACTGAAGATGATCTCATAGGCATACCACATGCCACCTCGAGTGATGACATATACGATGGCTATTTCATTCCAAAAGGTCCGCTGTTGTCGTCCCATCAACACAATGATTATTTATAATACCGTACATCAGGCACAATCATCACGTACAACACATGGTCCGATATGTTCCTCCCAGCCTTTTGTAACACTGACTTGATTTTAGGAGCATTACACGGGATGAAAAGCGGTACCCCGACGCATCTCGCTTTATACCAGAGAGGTTTATCGACGTTGATGGCGCGTTAACAGGTGATGACCCCGCACAATACACCTTCGGCTTTGGCCGGCGTGCATGTCCTGGTTCGTTAAGTTACTTTGACTCTATAAGAAATTTGTTGACAGATAGACTTTACTCAGGGAGGTATACCGCTGATGCCTCTGTGTGGTCTGCCATTGTGACTATGTTGGCCACATTGGATATTTCTTCTGCCAAAGATGACCAGGGCAAATTGATCAGCTTTACTCCCACGTTCACCACGGGAGTGGTTCGGTACTTGACTCCCTCGTGTCGTTCTACCCTCTTGTCACTAACAGCTTCGTTACTTCAGCTGTCCTGCGATCTTCCCTTGCAGTATCTCAGCACGGTCTCGCACCCATTCAGACCTTGTGGACTGTTGGCAAACTGCCGAGTTTTGACATCAACGTCGCACTTCAAATTTGCGCGCTAGGAAGACCGAATGAATGTACAGTTCTAGGAAGCGCTTGCACCGGAGCTTTCTCTCCTTCTAACGTCTAACTTTGGGAACAGCTTGTTTGTATACGAGACAATATATAATACGATATCGAGATTGATACGATGCAGATACTATTCATGTCGAAATGTTGATGACCCGTGCTTCGCAGCTACAATATCTCCAGCATCCTGACATTCATCATGTCATCAACAACAGAAGTCATGTCCCTCACTTGTGCGATGGTATTGTTATCCGAAGCAATTCTCTTATACTCCCAGCCATGCTATTGCGCTAGCAAAAGTGCGCCAAAAGGACGAACAAGGCGAACGAGCAACCTCAACCCTCTGGTTACCAGCTCGTCATCTCCAGGCTCAGCAGACCAATTATCTACGCTCTGCGACTCGTCTGTAAAGTCCTCGAGATCATGCCGATTGCATGGATGAATGAGCAGGGATGCATGGCAGAGTCTTGTATGAGGAAATGTTGGCTGGGAGGCAACTGTTGAAGTGTCTTCCTTCTCCGTAGATTATAGGAATGTAGATGCCGAATATTCCAAACAGGGTCTTCATCCCGCGCAGTGACACGCATTGATGCCCATTGAAGTTTCTCTCTGGCATCTCTCGTCCCCGGGCGGAAGGCGAGGAGCGCCTGCGCATTTATGCCAGTTGAATGCTCCAGCTCCTCCATAATACTGACAGGCTCCTTGTAGTTGCGTGAGCGGTCGTCGAAATATAGGGTTCAATTAGCTTGGTAGAAGAGAATGACTTTCGGGGCCAGGAGTTCTGGAATACTCCATGCTCGCGTGTTCCAAGCACTGTTTGCGAGCGCGCCCGACTTTGATGAAGGAACATCCGATAGGTAAACAATGGTGAGTGCTGAGCGCTGAGCAGTGATACCGGATGAACATGGAGTGGTCTGAAACATTGAGCTCGACAGTGTCGAGCCGGTCGATGCAGCACGTATCGCTCCACGCCCAACGATGCCCCGCATCGCGAGCAGCTTTGCGGAATTTCTGTAACTTCACTATGGTTCCAGCCGGGTCCAAATCGTATATGGTCTTGTGCTGAATGTCATACAGCGTTGGCTCCTGGGTTTCCCATCTGTGCGATAACATGACCCTCGAAGTACTGCACGACCGCTTCTTTGATGGGCCGCGTTTGGACTGGCACGTGTATCACTGATGAATGTGAAAGCTCTTTATACTCTTTACTTCCCATAAATGCGTTGATCTGCGCATCTTGATTGCACAAACGTCCAGTAGAGGTGTTGATTAGACGAAATGGAGCGTTCTCCAGTTGGACGTGAATGGCTAGTCGAATAGCATCTTCTACTTCAGATTGACTGACGTATTGGCGGTGTAGCTCTGCAAAAATGTCAGTCGTTTTCAAGTCATGCACATTGATGTCATGAAGCGTACGCGACAAGGCGTTGACAGGATGATCATGACTGGTAGATACACCGACACCACCATGCGGGGAAGGAGAACCTTAAAAGTCGTGTAAGTCGCTGATCACAAAGGCGTCATGGATGTGCAACCCACGCGTGGCTGTGATTACAGTCTTTGGTGGTAGAGTAGCCTCGGCGTTGGAAGAGACAGTCAGTACTGGGGACAGGGGCCTATTTGTAAATGTTTAGTAGAAACCGGGTCTCGATCAGACTCCTACCCATCGGCAGTGTGTTGAGAGTACATCCGAGTGCCGCCACACAAACCAAATACGACCAACAATAATTCAAACAGCGCAACTTTGGACTCTAACACACTTGGCCGACTGGCACAAGTTGTAGTGGCGCAAAGGTTGTATCTATTTGTCCCTCCAAAAAATACCTTCGAAATAGTCGCCTAGTGTTTTATTTAACAGTGTGACCTTCTGTGACACAACACATATCCATTTCGAGTCTTTTGAGTTAACCTTAGCATTGCGATGTCAGCCCGTCAATTCAAAGTACCAAATTTGACCGATATGAAGATGGTCATTCACAGTACATTCGGTATCACCCCCTGTACTTGGCAACTTCGGTCGGCTTTGCATCAGCTTGAGAAGAAAAATGTCTTTACTATTTCTCCGACTGGCTCAGGCAAAACATTCACGTTCTGGATCCCCCTTCTATTCAACAACAATGGAATTTGTTGAGAATAACAAGCCGAGCTCACCCTTAGTTGATAAGCCGAAGGTAGCGGAACTTTGGAGTGTCTGAGATCGTCGGAGAGTAAAGAGAATATAATGATTCATCTGTCTGGAGCTAAAAAGGCAAAAGAAATGTGGGATCAGCTAAAGCTCGTGAAAGAGTCGCGAGGCAAACAAGCGATTACCACATGGAGGCGCAAGTTCTATAGAACTTTCGCCGATGATGACAAAGATATCCCAACACATGTCAAGCACATGAGGGAGATCCAGGAGACCCTGCATATGATGGGAAGTTTAGTAGCAGAAGACAACTTCTGCACAGTACTTATCTCATCTTTGCCCGAGTCTTGGGACACCTTCACGACGATGTATCAAAACAGGATAGGTGACGCGACAGCGATTACTTCGCATGAGTTAATCTCCCTAATAATGGAGGAGAATGCGCGAAGGAAGGAAAAGCTCAATGGTAAAGGAAAAGGAAAAGAGAGTGCGCTCACTATGAAGGAAAAGAATCCGAAAAAGAAGAGAGAAAGGAAGGAAATGAAGAGATGCGGAGTATGCAAGAAGTCCGGTCACCTTGAAAAGGACTGCTGGTTCAAGGACAAGCAGACCAAATGCTCCAACTGCCATAAGAGCGGGCACACTATTGAAACGTGCTGGAGCAAGGGTGGCAGACAGGCGGGTGCAGGACCGTCAAAGCCTCCTTTTAAGCGCGCAAGGAAAGACAACGTGAATGTCGTTGAAGACATTGTCGAAGATGCGCAATATTATGAGGAGGATGTCGCTTTTGTCGGCGACGATATGGAAGAGGTCATCGATGAACAAAATGATGGACTTCAAACCGAGGCAAATTATAGCCAAGGTAAAGCAGCGAAGTTGATCACATGCGATTGGCTTGCTGACTCAGGCACCACATCACACATCACGAAGATTAAATCTGCATTAACGGATTATGTTCCATTAAAATCCCATAAGGTTACAGGTATTAGTAACCAGTCTATTAAGGCTGAAGGGCGAGGAATGGTTGAACTTGTGAGCAGTGTAGGTAAACAAAAGATAAGGTGCAAATTAAAAAATGTATTGTATGTACTGACTGCAACAAATAACCTTGTGTCTATGATCCGTCTAGACAGAGAGGGAGGACGTGCAATTATGGGAAATGGCAGGATAACTCTAAAAGCATAAGGAGGACACATAATAGCCAAAGGAGAGCTACAAAACGGGTTATATTTATTAAAAAATACCCGAGCGCAACTAAATAAAACAATCAAAAGTTATAATGCTCGTGAAAATATACCCGCAGATTGGCTCACCTGGCACAAAAGATATGGCCATGTAGCCTATAGCGGCCTCAGATGCCTATATAGAGAAGGATTAGTAGAAGGAATGGAAGTATTAGACGATAACTCACCTATGCCACAGTGCGAAGCTTGTATCCAAGCAAAGCATGCGAGAAGTTCATTCCCGCATGCAAAAGACGAACATTCCAAATCACTCGGCGAATTAACGCATAGTGATGTCTGGGGACCAGCGCGGGTACAATCTGTTGGTGGATCAAGATATTATATATCCTTCACCGACGACTGCTCCTGAAGGTGCAGCGTCGAATTTATGAAGAATAAAAATGAAGCGTCCACCAAAGTAAAACAGTATGCGACATACCTAAAGAAATGTTGGACAGACCAACCAAAAAGGTTCTGAGTTGACAATGGAACAGAATATATCAATAATGATCTAATAACATGGTGTAAAAATGAGGGGATAGAACTTCAGACGACAGCACCTTACTCACCAGAGCAAAATGGCGTGTCTGAAAGACAAAACAGAATGTTAGCGGAGCTTGCATGAGCAATGCTAATAGGAAAGGACTTACCGGAGTCTTTATGGGCGGAAGCGGTATCACATGCTGCATATATAAGAAATCACGCGCCTGCACGAGCGCTACAAGGCGTGACGCCAGAACAACTATGGAATGGTAAAAAACCGAATATAACTCACCTACAGGAGTTTGGTGCGCCAGTATATGTGCTCCAAGAGGGCACAAATCAATCGAAAATGAGCCCAAGATCTGTAAAACAAATCTTTGTTGGATTTGCGGATGGGCCAAAAGCAATTAAATATTATAATACACGGACGCACCAAATACGCGTATCAAGGAACTATAAGTTCCTAGATAACATTGCGCAAGTACATGATGTGCAGCACGAGGGGGAGTTAGAAGGGAAAGACGCGCAGACATCACAAAACAGCGCTATATTACCTAAAGATGCCATAGAGGATCCTAAAGATCAAAATAAGCATGAAGATCTGAAGGGAGAAGACGAAAACAACTCAACTCTAAAGAGGAAACGTCCCCTGACAGATTCAGATGATATAGAACCGCCTAGAAGAACAAAGAGACAGACGGTAAGACAGGATTATCGCCAATTAAATGACCCAGAACCAGAATGGGCGTACCTTGCACATGAGAGACATGAGCTTGACAAAGAGCTCTATGAAGAGGAAGTAGTTCTAGCCGCCTACATGGCAAACGGCAGCTTCGAACCACATGAGCCAAGTCACTAAAGGATGCGCAAGCGTCAGATGAGTGGCCAAAGTGGGAAGAAGCGGTACGAACCGAACTCGCTCAATTAGAACAAATGGGTACATGGGAATTGGTTGACCCCCCAAAAGATCACACCTTAGTAGGAAATAAATGGGTCCTACCTAGTAAAGAAAACAAACAAAGAAGGGGAAATAATCAAATACAAGGCACGGTTGGTAGCCAAAGGGTACTCACAGATACCGGGCATGGATTTCACAGATACTTTTTCACCAGTTGTGCATCTAGAAACAATACATTCAGTAATGTCCACAGCCGCATCCCTCGATTGGGAAGTACAGCAGATGGACGTAAAAGGAGCGTACCTAAACGGCGTACTCAAAGAAGAAGTATACATGAAACAGCCCGAAGGCTATGATGATGGAACTGGCCGAGTATGCCGATTAAAGAAGACCCTTTATGGCCTTAAACAATCGGGTAGAGAATGGAACCTTGAACTAAATGGACGCCTAACAAAATTGGATTCAGACGACTAAAGTCGGATCCATGCACTTACATCAGAGAATCCAAAAAAGGGACGGAAATAATAACCATCTGGGTTGATGACCTGTTGCTATTCGCAGACCATTCGAGTCTGATGGATCGATTAAAAGAGCAACTAAAGAGTATACTCGATATTACTGACCTTGGAGAACCGAAAAAGATTGTTGGGATCGAAATAACGCGAGATAGACCAAACAGGTCGATTAAACTCTTGCAAACAAAATATATCGAATTGATCCTGCAAAAACAAGGTCTAGAGTTGAGTAATTCAGTAGGTATGCCATTAGATCCAAAAATTATGCTCGAAAAAGAAGCAACAGACCAGGAAGGCAACTGGAGTAATACTTATGCGTCACTGATCGGATCGCTGATGTATTTGGCCATAGCAACGCGTCCAGATATCGCATATGCTATTCAAAGACTTAGCTCGTTTACTGCAAACCCAGGATTAACGCATTGGGTAGCAGCAAAACGTGTATTAAGATACTTAGCTGGAATGCGAAAACTTGGAATCAAGTACCAAGGGACCGGAAAACCTGATAAAGGGCAAATTCGAGTCGTCGGATGGTCGGATGCAGATTATGCGAACGATCCTAGAGACCGACTGTCAATATCAGGATATGTATTCAAACTGGGAGGAGGAGCTATTACCTGGAGTTCCAAAAAGCAAAACGCAGTATCCCTCTCATCGACAGAAGCAGAATACACTGCGATGGCACACGCAACACGTGAGGCCATATGGCTTCGGAACCTCTTTGAGGAATTAAACATACCTCAGGATGCTCCAACCGTTCTCCATGGCGATAACATGTCCGCGTTGGCAATTGCTAGAGACCCACAATATCATTCGAGGTCCAAGCACTTTGATGTAAAAGATCATTATATCAGGCAGAAAATACAAGATGGAGTAATCCACGAACAGTATTGCCGCACCAATGATATGGTGGCAGATGTTCTGACGAAGTCGTTACATAAGCCGAAGCACTGCAAATTTGTCAGTGACTTAGGCATGACTTCGGCTTGAGGGGGAGTGTTGAGAATAACAAGCCGAGCTCACCCTTAGTTGATAAGCCGAAGGTAGCAGAACTTCGGAGTGTCTGAGATCGTCGGAGAGTAAAGAGAATATATAGGACTTAGGAGATATCCAGAAATTAATTTGTTCTATTCTCTCCTATTGGCGTCTATCTATCAGCCTCTGAATCTAAAACTATAACGTCAACTATAAGTCTTATAGCCTGTGAAACGATAGAATTATCCTCATAGTGATGCCTCTGAATATTCTTGGCGAGAAAATTCGTAACGAAGCAAAAACACTGGGCTTCCCGGCCTACAATCTTTCTGCAGAAAATGCTACCGATGAAGCTTTCAATGTGGGTGCATCACCTTTGATAGTCTACTTGCAAGACTCATTGTACAACAGTAGTTCATGCATGACATCGCTCATTTTATCACGAACTCGCTGACTACTATGCCTCATGT